AGTACTCAATTATTCCTGGAACATCCTCATAGCAATGTTTTGAACTCTGCATCTGAAAGAGTTTTGTTTAGTTCTTTTTCTGGAGTTTTGTTCTGTCTGTTTATTTGAGCCATATTTTTCTTTGTCTCATTTTGGCAGCTTCCCATTGTTTGTTTCTGTGTGCTAGGCAGAGCTACTTTGACTCCCTGTCTTAGTAGCATGGCCTATTGCAGAAAAGCATGCCTATAAATTGTACAGGGCAGAGTCTTAGCTAGTCACCAAGGCAGGGCAACCCATGTCATCGCTCTGTTGCTCTGTGTAGCAGGGAGCTCAGAGAGGGAACAATGTCTCTGGCTTGCCTCTGAAGTTTTGCCCTGGAAGAAGCTGTCTCCTGGCACTTCCCCTGTTGCCAGTCACTTTATTTTCTCCCCTTATGCCACTGGAGCCCAACCAGCTGTTGCCCTGTTGCTGAATCCCAGAGGGGCAGGTCTACATGAATCCTAACTGTGGACATTTTAAGAGGGGACTCTTGAGAAACCCACAGTTTCTTCTGCTGCCCCAACCTCCCCTGGTTTTTACAATAAAAAATTATGGGGACTTATCTTTCTGGTGCTTGAAACTTGGGCTGTGTGGTCTGGTCTGGGGCTGGGATCCCTCATTCTCAAGGTATCCCTCCCAATTTTTTATCCACCACATGTGGATTTGGGGTCACTCATTCCATATCTCTGTGCCTCTACACGTCTCTGCATCTCCACCCTTCTGACCCATCTGGATGAATATGGCTTCTTTAAATCCTTGGTTGTTAGACTTCGATAGGGCTCAATTTTCTTACAATTCTGTATGGTATTCTTTTTGTAGTCTAGTTGTAATTTTTGCTGTAGTTGTGTGAGGAGGCATGGTGTGTTTACATATGCATCTTGACCAGATATAAAAATACAAATTCTGAGACTCGAAAGAATATATAAATTAAATTATGCTTAAATATTGTTTTACAAATGACTGATCTTCCAACCCACCCCCTATTCTCAACTAAATAGCAATGTCTGAGTTTCACTCAGCTTCTGCAGAGACTGTCAGTCTGAAACAAATTAGGACAATTAAGCTGAGGATACAATTTTTCGAGAAAGACCTTTTTCAGAAGGTGGTGCGTGCATTTGTGAGAACACTATTCCCATAACACAGTGTGCTCAGTGGGGTCTCTGCCATTGAAATCAGAATTTAGATCAGGAAAATCTGTGAAATAAGAGTATATTTGTTCTCTTGAGGCAAAAGGATTTTATTCTGAAGGATAGATATTTATCTTGTTTAACATTTTTTGAGCTCTGTATTTAGTCCCCAGACTTCTCTATTTATACCTGCATTATCCAATACAATAGCCAACACCCACATGTGACTATTGCTGACTTGAAATGTGACCAGTCCTATTGGAAAAGTGTTATAAGCATAAAAATCACAGAATGTATCTCATGAATAATGTTTATGCTGACTATATATAGAAATTACACTATTTTGGTTAATTTGGATCAGATAAAGTATATTGTTAAAATTGACTTTACCCATTGCTCTTTAACTTTATTAATGTGACTACTAGAATATTTTAAATTATGCATGTGGTTCAAATTAGTGGCTCACATTATATTTCTATTAGCACTGATTTAGGCTGACCTTAAAAATCTGATAGCTTTAAATAACATTAATATGTTGACAATTCTCAGGTTTTTACCTCCACTCCCAATCTCATATCCTGCCTCCAGACTTGCATATATAATTGCCTATTTGAGTGTCCACTTGGATGTTTAGTCATCAGTTTTCAAGTGTGCCTTCCTATCTTTTATTTCAGTGGACCTGCTTCCACCCTGGTCTTGACACAGGATGACAAATTCCGGTTAATGTCGGTAACTCAAATATAGGTTGGTCTTTTTCTGCCATGAACAATAAAGTAGATTTCCCTGGTTCACTTATATAACTATATGTACACATAAATCTTTATATTTTAATTCCTTGCAGGTTTTCATTTGGAAACAACCACCTCCATTGAAAATTTGGGTGCTGCTAACCAAATCTAACTTTGTACATGTAATCAATTTAAATATTGTATATATAATTTAAAAATCATGATAGAGATTTCCATCTTTAAACAAATAAGAGAGTTTATAGTAAGTAATGTTAGCTCCTTTTTGAGATAAGCTATTAAGCCTGTCATTTCTTCCTTTTTCTAATACCAACAAAGATCATTATTGTTCCAAGAATATATTTCCTGGAATTCTCAAAGCACTCCTTCACTTGTCCTCCCCTCCAGGGGATGTTTTACCAATGTCCATGTGAGAGAATTCTGAGATCTGACACATCTTTAATTCAATAATTGATGAAAAGGATGAGGCTCTACAAACTAAATGTCACAGATCTAGCACAGAGCAGTGGTTATGGATAGGCCATTGCCTCTGGCTGTGTGAGGAAAACATTAAGCATTTATACAGAAAATGTCTCTTATTTAGAACAGTTGTTTTAGATACCCCCTGACTCCATACAAGAGTAGCCTCCCCCATTGTCGACAACCCCTACCAGAATGTGCATTTGTTAACAAATGATGAACCTACATTGACTTATTACCATTACCCAAAGTCCTTAGTTCACATGAGGGTTCACTCTTGGTGTTGCACATTCTGTGGGTTTGAACAAATTCATAATCACAAGTACACATACAAACAAAGATTTGGAAATTTGGCTCACAAATCTGCCTAAGTAGAGAGGAAGTGACTGTGGGGACTGATGAAAAGGACCTTTGGTTTAAAGAGATGATTCTGAACTTTGACATGGGAGATATCAGAGACACAGAGGCTATTTATGAAGTTATTATGCCTTCACAGGTATAATGTAGTGTTCGAACCTTTACAAAATAAGTAAAGATGACAAAAGATCATAAGGAAGATGCCACAAAATTTAATGACACTTGCACTGAGTATGAAAAGATGAGGAATTGTAAATGTCAAGATTTTAAGTTTAGGTTACCAGTGGAGCCATTGGTACATAAGGTTGACTAGAGATCATTTTAAAAATGATTAACAAACTAAGATTGCATATTTAAATTTTAAATGGATATTTATGTAAAAATATTCAGCAGGAATTTGCAGATAGACTTGTGGTTTAAAAATAAAGGTAGTGCTGGGAGTTATTACAGAGCACAGTTTTAGCCCAAGGTATACATAGAGTACAATACTGTAAACTAAATTCTCCTCTGGGTTGGAGGTGGAAGAAATTAGAGAGTAGAAATTACTTCTAAGGGATATGTATCTGGAATTTTACAGAGAATTACATGAAAATAAGTGCAGCTTAGATCTGGATGGTAGTGACCTCACAAAGCCTATAGCTCTTTGGCTCACACTGAGTATTAACTAAACTCAGTGTCTCGATCTGGAGGATTTGGACCTACCTCCCAAAGTGACAGCATTGGCGAAATGTGGGAGTCAATCCAATCAACATAACCTTACTAAGGATACTCATTGGTTCCCAAAGCTATACTTGGAATTATAAAATATTCTTAAAGTGTTTTAAAATTGCCCTGGCTGGTGTAGCTCAGTGGATTGAATGCTGGCCTGAGAACTGAGGGATCACTGATTTAATTTCCAGTCAGGACACTTGCCTAGGTAGCAGGCCAAACCCCCAGTTGGGGGTATCTGAGAGGCAGATGATGGATGTTTCTCTGGCACATTGATGTTTTTCTTCCTCTCTCTTTCCCTCTTTCTAAAAAAGTCAATGAATAAATAAAATCTTTTTTTTTAAGCGTTGTAAAATAGTTCCTGATGTTGAGGGCTTTTTAAAATCAGGTTGTCTGATGGTTGTTGGTTTGCCACTTGTGGTTTGCAGTACATTCAGCATTTACTATGCTCTAGAAAAGAACAACTGGCTGTAATGAAGGCAAAATTTGAAGGTGCTGTCTGGTCAGAATGGCCATCATAAACAAAGCAACAAACCACAAGTGTTGGAGACGTTATGGAGAAAAGGGAAGCCTAGTACACTGCTGATGGGATTGCAGACTGATGCAACCACTAAGGAAAACAGTATGGAATTTCCTCAGAAAACTAAAAATGGGTCTGCCTTTTGACCCAGCAATTCCACTGCTAGGATTATATCCCAAGAACCCTGAAACACCAATCCAAAAGATCCTATGCACCCCAATGTTCATAGCAGCACAATTTACAATAGCCAAGTGCTAGAAGCAACCTAGATGCTCATCAGTAAATGAATGGATAAAAAAACTGGGGTACATTTACACAATGGAATTCTATGCAGCAGAAAGAAAGAAGGCACTCCTACCCTTTGCAGCAGCATGGATGGAACTGGAGAGCATTATGCTAAGCAAAATAAGCCAGGCAGTATAAGACAAATACCACATGATCTCACCTTTAACAGGAACCTAATTTGTTAAAACAAACAAACAAGCAAAATATAACCGAAGACACTGAAATAGAGAACAGGCTGACAGTGACCAGAGGAAAGAGGGCAGGGAATTTCAGGGGGAAAGGGTGAAGGGTTTGCAGGAACAAGTATAAAGGACACATAGACAACAACAAGGAGGGGTGGAAATGGGAGGGAGGTGGGGAGGGCTGGGGGTGTGGGCTGAGATGGGGGGAAGGCAAAAACCTGTACTTGAACATCAATTAAAATAAAATTTTAAAAAAGAATTTGAGGGTGCTGAAGAAGTAGTGTGTAATAGAAAACAAAAGAGAAACTAGAAACTCAATTTTAGATAAATATATGGAAATCTTATTGTTGTATTTCAAAATAAATAAGTCTACCTAAGGTATGGACATATCTGGAACAAAAGAGAAAGAATTGCCTAAGATTTAAATTATGAGCCTAATGAATTTTTAAAACCATCTTTCTAATATATGAAAATAAAATAATCTGATGGGGGAAAAACATCATCTTAATTGTCTCATGAGCTTCCATATTTACTCTCCTAAATATTAATGATTGATGGCATTATATTAAATTTGACTTTTGAATCTCTTAGCAGTTTCTCACAATAATACATTCAGAATTTTCTTTAGTGCATCCTTCATATCTTTGTTTCGGAAGTTGTAGATAAGGGGATTGAAGAATGGAGTTGCCAAAGCATAGAACAAGGTCACAAATTTCTGCATGCCAGGATACTTCCCTGAACCTGGGCTAACATACATCACCATGACTGAACCATAGAACAGAGACACCACAGCAAGGTGGGAGGCACAAGTGGAGAAAGCTTTATGCTTTCCTGAGCCTGAGGGCATCTGTAGCACCACACCTAGAACACAGAAGTAAGTGCCAAGGATGTACAGAAATGTGAGAAAGATGATGAGAGAGCTAATGATACCACAGACTAGAGTAATTCCAGATACTGGAGCACAGGACAATGCCAGCAAAGGTGCCAAATCACAGAGAAAGTGGTCAATGGTGTTTGGACCACAGAAGGGCACCTGGTATATTAAGGTCAAAGGAGTCAGTAGGCAGAGAAAGCCCCCTGTCCAGCAGAAGACCACTAACTGAGCACATAGGCGATGTGTCATTATAGTGGGATAGTGCAAAGGCCGACAAATGGCAAGAAATCGATCAAATGACATCACTGACAGAAATAAGCCTTCAGCAGCACACATGGAGAAGAAGAAGTAAAACTGGAGCAGGCAGCCAGAGTAGGAGATGCTCTTGTTCTGAGAGATGATGTTGGCCAACATTTTGGGCACATCAGAACTGACATAGCAGATCTCTAGGAAGGAGAAGTTGGCCAGGAGGATGTACATGGGGGTGTGGAGATTCTGGTTTGACCACACAGCATAGATGATGGCTATGTTCCCCAGGAGGGTCAGAAGGTAGATGAGGGAGAAGAGCACAAAGAGGAAGATCTGGATGTCTCTGTGGCAGGGGAAGCCCAGGAGAATGAACTCACTCACAAACCCAGAGATGTTAGTAGTCTCCAAAGTCCTCATTACTCTGACCTGTGAAAGCGACAGAGACAATAAAAGCTACAGAAATATTTACACAATTTTTCTTCTTCCTGGTGGAGAGATATATTTATTTTCCTCAACTTGGGTTTGTAGTATTACCATATTTCCTTCAGAAGGTGAGTTGTTCTTTCCTCTTGGTCTCCTGCATTTCTTCAATAAACATTTTTTTGCTCATATTACTGCCAACCACTGTTCTACTAAATAGGTGGGGGGGGGATAATTAATTAAAAAGTAGAGTCCTACTCTTTTAGAGCTTATGTCAAACATCTTTAGTTCAAAACAACTTCAAGCAATGCAATTCATTCATAGCTCTAGAACAGGAGTGTCAAACTCATTTTCACTGGGGGCCACATCAGCCTCATGGTTGCCTTCAAAGGGTCAAATGTAATTTTAAGACTGTGTAAATGTAACTACTCCTTAACAGTTAACTGAAAACTCAGTGCTGCCGCCAGGTAGAAATAAGGTGCCAGGTCAGATAAAACAAGGTGGAGGGCCGGATTCAGCCCATAGGCCTTGAGTTTGCCACCTGTGCTCTAGAATTTCTGTTTAAAGGGAGCATAAGAGCTTAAATCTGATTAAAAGAGATCTAAGGAGATTTCCCTTGGAACCTCCTTTGCCTGGAAAGGGAATTGCTTTAATTTAGATTTTTTGTGTGTGTGTGGCAACTTCATGGGGAGCTGATATAAAATATAAACTGGAAGTTACCACCCCTCCGCCGTCATTGTGATGCTGCCACTAATACATTAACAACAGGATATGAAAAATCAGAACAAAGTGTTGTTGTCATATGAGACACGAAGATTAGACTCATCTGGACAAAATAATGAAAGGCTTTTGAGAGGGAGATGGACCTTGGCAAAAGACAGAATTTTCTAAGGGCAATCACTGATGGAGGCAGAACATTAATAGCATATAATATAAACATAAAAGGTTTTGTCTTCTTTTTTCTTTGTTTTAATTGTTCAGGTACAGTTGTCCCCATTCCCCCCACTACCATGCCCCCTTGTCCCACCCATTCCCACCTCCCACCTTAAAACATACCCACTTTGGCTTCATCCATGTGTCCTTTATACATGTTCCTTGAATAACATTCCCCTGTTTTCCCCCATTTCTCCCCTCCCCCATTTCTCCCCTCCCCTCTGGTACTGTCAGTTTGTTCTTTATTTCAATGTCTCTGGTTATATTTGGCTTGCTAATTTGTTTTGTTGATTAGGTTCCACTTATAGGTGAGGTCATATGGTATTTGTCTTTCACCACCAACATATAAGTTTTATGGAACTGCCTTTGAAAGACAATTTACCAGACAAGTACAGGCTAATTAAATTAACAGGAAATCATTAGAAAGCTATTTCAATGGTCCAAGTTTAAAAAAAATGTTTTTTGAATGTTGACCAAGGGTAATGTATAAGCAAAAAGATACCAGGAACGGATTCAAAAGATGCGTAGAAACCTAACTTCTCAGTCTTTAAAATCAGCAGAGGTAATTAAATGCTTCTCACAGAATAAAGGAAAAAGATACACCAAACAAAGAGACCTCACTGTCCATTTGCCACAGTAATACACTTTAGTTCTCTTCTGATCGTCCCGTCCCCTGGGGTGACTCAGAGGGGAGAACTGCTCCCAGCACAACAATCCGCTCTAAAGGCCTTCTGCTCCCACACATCCCTGTGCTGAACAGTGCGTTCTCCAGTCCCTGCTTTCTTTTTCACTCTTTGGAGTCTGACTATTATATCTCATTAAATAAATTAGCTTCTACTTACACAGTTTTCCCCTCCTACAAGCCACACACATGGGTGTTGATTTGCTATGCCGCCAACTATGTGAAAGAGAACAGTAAACAAGAGTCATCTAAATTAGTGCCAAGTTTTAAAGAAAAATTTTGCATTTTCTTGTCATCTAAGAATACAATTCCTTTGAAGATGACCTGCAAAAACAAAATGATACTTTGACAAAAAAAAAGTACCTCATTAATCACATGTGTAATAAGGTTTCTATAATTAGAACAGTGTTTATACAGGAAAATAATCATAAAAATTTATGCTCCTTTTTCTTGTGAATATATCAAACAAAAAGGACAGTCAGACATAGGAAAGAAGTTACTGTTCCATCTGCCCAAACTCCTTATTCTAATTCGATCCGTGAGTCTGAGATGTCAGCTACTTGCTAAAAAAAAAAGCCTTTGGCTTCTTTCTTTACATCCTTTGGATCCCTTTCAGGTTTTACTCAGAAAATAGAATGTGCCCAAAATCCCTCCATCCCCCATTATTTATTCCTTCCAAAGTCTGAAACCTGTCTCTGGAGACCTCAATCCCAGGAGCAATGACGACAACATACATTATACAGACTTGAATGTGTTTCATCTTTAGTGACTATCTTTTGGAGATTAAAACCACACAAATGTACACACACCCATATGTACTCTCACACACAAACGACAGGCACATGCACGCACTTATATTCTAGCCTAACACTTCCAGAGCTTCATCTCCCAACCTTAATAAATTACTTTTAAGCTAACAAAGATGCATCATTACATTAAAGCTTTCTTAGAAATGTGGTCTCCTATTCCTATTGTACAAACAGCTGTTCACAGAGCTCATCAGTGGTATCCAGAATGAGCCTGTTCCCAGATATCCTCAGAATTACCTGTCCTCATTGTTTACAAACTCCTTATTTCTACATATGGATCAAACAGGATATATGCTGGTCAACCATGAAGTTACAACATTGTGTGAGGAAAAAAACTTTCTCTTCAAAAAATGCATTTTTCTAAGCCTTCCTTGCAGTTAAGTCTGTTCATGTAACTGAGGTCTAGTCAGTAGAATGTAATTAAAACTGATGTGCAGCACTCCAGGCCACACCTCTGCATGGTCCCTGATGATCTATGATACAACCGAGCATGTGACGTAGGAAGCTGAGATTTTTTGTGGTTTTTGTTTATTTGTTTTTAAAGATTTTATTTATTTATTTTTAGATAGAGTGGGAGGGAAGGAGAGAGGGAGAGAAACATCAATGCGTTGCCTCTCTTGCATCCCCTACTGGGGACCTGGCCCACAACCCAAGCATGTACCCTGACTGGGAGTTGAACCAGCAACCCTTTGGTTCACAGGCCAACACTCAATCCACTGAGCCACACCAGCCAGGGCAAAAGCTGAGTTTTGAAGAAGATTAAGGAAAAATAGAAAAAGCCTGAGTTCCAGAATTTTTTATTGTTGTTCTATATTACAGTTGTCCCCATTTCCCCCCCCCATTGTTCTTCCTTGTTGTCCCCACTACTCCCCAGTCCTGCAGTCAATCCCCATCCTATTGTCCATATCTATGGTTCATTTACACTTGTTCTTTAACTAGACCCAGAATTGTCACATGAAAAAAAAATCACTGGTCAATCAGGAACATCCATTTGGATTTTAAGTGAACAATAAATGAACACCCTTCATATCTGATCCACTAAAAAGAATCTCATTTGGAAAACAATCATGTGAATAAAATATTTACATTTTGATAAATGTAAAAAGAAAACAATCTGTGGGTGACTATGTCAAAAATATACTTGCAGGCTTATTCCCTTCAAGTTTAAAACAGCAGGGAAAATTAAGGAAACAATGTTTATGAAGGACAAATTCTGAGAAATAAAAATTTGGAGTTATAGAGTGAGTGCATTTTAAATGTTGGTAAATGTGACCACCTTTCCTCTAAAGCTTTAAGGGCTTTCCTCATTACTGTTACTTTTCTCTCTTATCTTAACACTGAGGCCTAGCTTTTCATACTGTGCTGCTGGCCCAGGCCTTCAAACATAAATGAATATGGCGACACTATCACATGCCTCCATTATGATGATATCTGTCAGCATCAACTGAGAGAACATGCAACACATTTCTAGGTTTAAAACTTTCTTTCCATACAAGGTGACTCAATATCTACCCTTTTATTTTTAATTTTTTTCTTTTGTTGATTATAAAGACAGGGGAAGGGTGGAGAAAGAGAGGGAGAGAAACACTGATGTGGAGAGAAACATTGATCAGTTGCCTCCTGCACATGCCCAGACTGGGAACTGAACCTACAGCCCAGGCCTGTGCCGTGATGAGGAATCAAGCCCACGACCTATAGGTTTGCATGACAATGCCCAACCAAGTGAGCCACGCCAACCAGGGCTGAATGTCTACCCTTTTCATTGAATACCTACCCAATTGAAATATCAAGATGCTAACCTTGAACTCTGACAATGTTGATGTAAAACAGAGATTTCTTGCCTTGCCTCTGTAACACTCTAAGATATCAGAAGTATTTTCGAGGGGAATTGTGGAGCTCTCACAAGACTGAAATGATGCAATTAATTTGAATTCATCTTCTCCTTAAAACTGTTTGGATAGCTTACATGTTTGATAAGAGAAGGAGCTATATTGTGACACTAAACAGCACAGACTCTACTTAAAAACACCAAAAGTTTTTAAATGTAAATCTGTTCACATCACTTCCTTGCATTCAGTCCTTAAATACTTCTTTCTCACTTATAGGATCAAGTTCTATCATTTCAGTACATCCCTTTCAGGACCCCCACATGCACTCTACACTCATTTACTCATACATTAGGACTCTTCTATGTGCTATTTATTTTCCTGCTTGTCACACTATCATCCACCCTCCCTCCCTCCTATCTAGAACACTTGTAATTCAAGATTCGACTGAAGTAGCCTCTGTGAACCCCTCTCTGACACTTCTCACTTACCCCACCCCCCAAACCTATACTCCTGTCAGACACCCCTCTGTGCTCCTCTGGAACCCTATGCTTTCCTTTTACTTAGTACTTTTTTATTGGAATTGTTGACACATCTGTGCCACCATAAGTCAAGAGTCCTTTGAGAACAAGGATCCTATCATATGCATCTATGTACCATCAATACCAAGTGTACTGCCTGGAACATGATTTGTGTTTCAGAAGTTTTTGCAGGCCCCAGAGTTCCTTTGTGTAAAACTGTACATCCTCAGGCTGATATACCACCACCAGCAAGATA